TAAACAGCAGTGAGGAGGGCTGTGCGAGTGCATCGCAAAAACGTGTCCTGCAGCACAGCCCAAGCTGCCAGGATTTAGCAGTGAGCAGCCAGTGCTACCCCAGCTGCCTTAGCTTCAAGCATCCCTCAAATCATCTCCAGAGCCTTCAGTGCTGCTCGAGCCACCTGAGCCTCAAGACTCTACATGACCTGAGCTCTATCCAGTGTCCCCCTGCAACATCTGTATATAAACCTAAGTCCAGGAGTTCAGCATCATCTATTTCCGAATCCCTCTGCTTCTGCATCTTCATCTCCATCTCCTCCAACTTCACTGCCATCCTTTGACCGAGCCACCAGATCTGTCCTGTTGCCTTTGCTGACACTCGCCTGCGGCTAAACCACAGGTGTGCTTTTATTATTTTCCTTGTTATGTCTTTACTTTTCTGCCTCTACTTTAAAAGTTTGTGTTCATTGTGCTTTGCTTTTAGTTTTGCTTCCTTTGTCTATTCGCATGTTTGCCATCAGCCTAATACATAATGTGCTTTTTGTGAAACACACTGTCTCTCTTCACATCAACATTTGAGTCCTCAAACACAAACACTTGGCCTGCACGTCACACAGACCGTGACAAGTTAAAGAAGGTCAATGTTCACATTGTCTATCTGCTCGACAAACCTGTGATTTACAGGAAGGGCATTGCTTGTCTGATAACTAATATGAAGCCTCATTTACAACTCTGTTTTTACCACTTGCTGTCTAAAGATCTGCTGAGTGAGGGTTTTTAACTCCTCAGTGGTGTAGTTTGTCTCTGTGTCTTTCACCCTGTGCAGTGATTATCACTTCTATAATAAACTGAAAATCTCAAACTAGATAAACTTATCAGGCTTCACACGCAAATAAAGGACAGCATGAGCAAATCTACCGTTAGATACTTTAATGGTATTAAAAATTTGAGTCTTGGGTCACAGTTGAATGGTCAGATAAAAAAAAAATATTTGAGATATAAAATCTCATCATATTTCATGGAGCCTCAAAGGGAAATGTGATGAGCTGAAGGCGAATTCATACAGTTTATAAAGCAAACCAACACGAATTTGCTTAAGAATGTGATGACAGATTACTTATGCTAAAGTATTTTATTTCTAATGTATTACAACTTAAAAACTACAATAGTATTCTGTTTGTTCATTTGAATAGTTTCCTAGGAGTGTCACGTCCTGGGTGGCTAACTCAGTGTTTTCTGTTTTGTGTCATTAACCTTTGATTTCTTGATGTGTCTTTGTTAGTTCTTGGGCTTTGCTTTTGTGTTAGTATTGTGTTAGTATTGTGAGTTCAGTCTGTGGATTTCCTCTTTTACTTTGAAGGTCTTGTCTCATGCTAGTATATTCTGTTTTAGTTCTTTCTTGCCCAATTAGTTCCAGCTGTGTTGCCACCGGTTCCTTGTTCTGTCATGTTCCTGCCTGTGTATTTACAGTATGTGTCCTCAGGAAGTGATCAGGAAGAGGCAAAATGTGAACTTAAAAACATTGCTTTATTGCAGGCTCGGAAGTAATACAAAACAATATCAAAACTAAACTGGGAGAATTCTAAGAATACAGGAAGACACTGGGAAACACATAGCAAGAGGGTGAATGAACGTTAACGATGCAACCACGAGCACTGGAGGACGCACACTATAAATACACAGACAGGGACAACATGAGGGAACGAGGAACAAGTGGAAACACAGCTGGAACTAATTGGGCAAGACTAGACAAGGAAGTAAGAAACAAACCCCAACAACCAAGAAGCAGCTTCACCTCTGATCACACACACTGAAGAAACAACACTCACCTGGAGAAACAACAACCAGGTATATGATGCTGATGGATTTCCACATTCTTCTTTCTGCCATGAAGACACAACACTAGTATGTTGCAGTGGTATTAATTGTCACATTGTTCAGAGTCGTTCAGTCTGTCCATCGTCTGTCCATCGTCTGTCTTTTCTACAGATTTTAGATGTGTCCTTCTTCTTCTTCTTCTTTGTGTTTAACGGCGGTTGGCAACCAACGTAAAGGAGCATTACCGCCTGTTTTACGACTGGTAAAGTCAGAATTCTGCTTGAATACCATATTTTTCAAACCATAAGGCACATTAAGCAAAACAAAACAGTCAGATAAGTCAGAGTTTACTCAACTCACTCTTCTTGCCTCCTCCACTTCCATACCATTGATTCATTCATGTTGAATTCTCTCACAGCTGCTTTATTCCCATGTTGTTGCATATTAATGACTAACCTGGTATTGTGGATGGATTATCTCAGTTATTCTCCTGACTGAAGTTTGGTCCGTTTACAGCATCCTGCCATGCGATTGCATTTGTCTCTAACCATCAGGAACCTTCACGTTAACTTTTATCGAGTGGAAAAGAGTTAGCGTTCATCCTGCAGCTTCACTGTGTTTATGTTATGCTAACATAGTTGTGCCGCTAGTGATCACGTAGCACATCATTATATACCAGCTAGCCCAACTTCAGTAACCCTGCAAACATCATTGCTGTTTAGTTTTCTGTCTTCATCAATGTGTGAAGTGACAGCAGAGCTGTACATTTCAATTTGTTCAGAAATCTCTTAGTCAGAACATGGCATATCACGTTTAGGTGGAAACTAGCGAACTAACTTCCTGCTAAGTTCTAACTCTGTCAGATTTAATAAATTCTGTTTTTCTGGATGCCTTGATGTTAAACTTAAGTGTTACCCCTGGTAAAGCAGCAACACTAAACATTTTATTAAAGATGAAAGAATTTAGACGGTTTTTAACTCACATCACTCAGTGATGCTGCAGTGTTTGTTTGACGTTGGGACCTAAAGCAGACTGAGTTTTGGACCCAGTTTACTCTGCAAACCTCCTGACTACAGTAACCGTAATGCTCCTACAATCCATCAAGTGGTGCGGCTTCGTAGCTTACCAAAGTCATACTAAAACATTTTTTGACAGATTTTTGAGCGCTGTGTACCACGTAAAATCGTTTTGAGGTCAGTAAGCGCAACCAGGATTCATACATAAGGCACACCGGATTATAAGTGCAGAAAATATAGTAATCATACAAAAGTAATATACCTAAAGAAATACTAACAGAACTTACTCTCCAAAATCATATAGATGATACAGGATCATAATTATTGATTTATGTATGTTTTATTTTAATGTTGCAGCTTTAGATGGTTGGAACAACTTATATACTGCTGAGTCACTTAACTAGAACAATGTATCATTATATAGTAATTAAATAAATGTCAGGGAGTACAATGTTTGAATTCAAAATACAGTGGAGCAGAAATAGAAAACTACAAAAAAAAAGAAATACATCAATACGATTTAAACATACAGTATGAATTATACTCTATAAGTACTCAAGTACATGTACAACTTTACATTGTGTCACTGGTGGTATTAACAGATTTACAGCACTCTGTGTAAGATATAGAAGAATAAGCCGTTTCCTACTTTCTCCACTCATAAGTCTGTAACTCAACCAAACCCATAACATCTGTGTTCTCCACAGTCTGGTGGTTTTCTGTTTTCTCTGCTGTTTTGTTGAATGTCAAACTCAAACTAATTCAATTAAGTTGTGATGTCACTGCTGAGCAGTGCAACAAATCAGGGTCAGTCAATTTAAACCTGACATGAGTTCAGAGATTTGATGCTTTTTAGGCTTTGCTGTAGCATGACATGATAATTATTACAGTAATTGATCACTGAAGCCTAATGATGTGTCGTGTGTGTCGAAGCTCTGAAGCGTGTGTCGGGTAATTTCAGGGGAGTTTTTGTGAAGCGCGTATCGAGGCTCGCTTTGATTACGTATGCAGTGACGCTCAAGGCCTCGCGGGCAGTCCGTACCACGTGACTGATTCAGGAACTGGTTTGCCGGTTTGCGCCAGATTCGAAATAAAATGGGCAGAAAAACACAGCTGATTTCCCCATCACATTGTGTTGTTGAATTTGATTACGTACGTGCTACATAGTTGAGCTTCTTCTTCGATGGAACCAGCAAGGAAGAGATTTTTTTTATATCTCATCTCTCCTAATAAAGTATGCACAGAGTAATAAATATCACAAATGATAAGAACCATAATATAAATAAACAACACCACAGATCCTATAATCTGATTTCTGTCTTTTAGTTTATTAAAAAGTGAAGCACCAAATACTAGTTTGTGTCATTATCCAGATGTACATAAGCATGCCAAAACGTTGTCCTGATAGTTTCCACTTTCTTTTGTATCAGGCATCTGATGGTGTTGACAAAATACCCTACTTTCTCTCATAACACATGTTTTTCTGACAGAAGCCATCTTGTTTTTCATCATTTGCTTATGGCCTCTACAATCTGCCTAAATTAGGCTGTTTTTACAAGAAAAAATAATCAAATCTTGGATTACATCGACTTGACGCACGATTTTAATCACTTAAAAAATATGTAAAAATAAATTTTCAATTGCATATTTTGATATTATATAAGGTATTGACTTAAATACTTAGTGACGAGAGCCATGATGTTTAATTTTACATTACTTTTAATTTTTTTCTGTATTTTAATATTATCACACCTGCTTCTGGACAATGGATTTTTAAGCTACTGGTAATGTATTGTACCATTTAAAATAAATATATATTTATAAAAAATGCAAAATCATAGTTTTGTTGTATAAACATTGCCTTGGTTTGTCTTTTAGGCAGTTGGGTTAACACTTGTATGCATATTTTTAACCACAAAATTGGGTTTTATCTGCAGGACATGTTTTGTCCCTTATCTCAAGAATCACTGGTTTATTAAAAAGTGAAGCGCCACACAGTTTGTGTGATTATCCAGATGTACATAAGCATGATTACACAATCATACCAAAACTCTGTCCTGATAGTTTCCACTTTCTCTTTTGTATCAGACATGCTGAGACAATATTCGTAATAAATAACCATGAAAACAATTTATTTATTCAGTTTAGAGGTTTACACATCACATCATTACAATCAAAGAGCCTGTTTCACTTGAATCGTCCACTTGATGGCGCAGTAGAGCAAATGAATCATCACAATGCTTCGAACCATGAGTCGACCAGTTGGATGGAAACCTTCAGTTCATCACGAGGCTTCATCTCACCATTGCTAGTAGTCATCATCTAATGACGCCTTTCCTACTTCAGTAGAATACCAGGACCTAAAAAGGAAGAGGGGAGAGCTTAGTGCAGGACGAGCAAGCTAGGTAAGGAAGCAGTGTGTACAACAGTGTTTACGGCAGCTTGAAATAAGTTGCATTAATAAGGCCACAAACATCACAGCTAAACCACTGTGTGTGCGTCGTGGTACCCCCGTAACACATCTCTTGCTAAACAGCTTTTGGACTAACTTGTGCTCTGCAGGCAGAGCTTCTTTAGACTGCTAACTGACATATTAACGGTTTTCTTTATATTGACGCAGAGCCAAAGGTAACACTATGAGTATCCTACATTATTATTATTTTTTCCAACAGAGAGATTGTCTGGGGACTATGATGATATTACACAGGTAACCACTGAACATCAGTTCTGAGCCTGTGCTCCATCAGTTTGATGGTGGCTCTCAGATCCCTGTAATTGAATTACGTGTGCCACTATAATATATATAAATATATATACTATAATACCTGGTTGTTTGTGTAAACTTCGTACAGAAATTTTATTTGTTCTGTCAGCTCACATTCTCTACATGTCAGTCTGAGGGAAAGCGCTGATCCTGATGTTGGTGTGTCAAATTTGTATTTCACCAGTTGACATCACATGCATACCTTTAGAACGTGGTAGCAAACCCATACAAGGTCCTCCCTGCTGCCTCGTACTTGAATCAGAGTTTGATCGATGTCAAGTGATCCATCAATATCAAATCACAAGATCTGATATATCAAAAATCCTTGTACATCGAATCAGAGTTTGATTGATGACAAGTGATCTATTGATATCAAATCACAAGATTTGATATATCAAAAATCCTTGTACATCGAATCAGAGTGTAATCGATGTCAAGTGATCTATTGATATCAAATCACAAGATTTGATATATCAAGGATCCTTGGATATCGAATCAGAGTTTGATTGATGACAAGTGATCTATTGATATCAAATCACAAGATTTGATATATCAATAATCCTTGTACATCGAATCAGAGTTTGATC